ACATGAACTCCAGAATGTGATAGACAAACTATCTATTCTTTATTTTTTATTTTAATTCATCACTGATAAATTTCACTCAGAGCTAATGACAAGCATGTGGAAAATGTGAGCCATACTTGCTCATTCAGACTGCCACTTACTCTAGAGATCTGGAAGTCCTGGGTCTTTCAGAGTGAGAACTCTGAGCTTGGTGCGAGAACCTAAGAAGACTGAAGGTTATCTCATTGTTAAATTTGAATAGCCCGAGACCTCAAATGATTCTGTAGTCTTCCAGCTATAGCAAGAACAGAGAAAACCCAATGCATGGGATAATGAGATGATCCTCAAAAGTAATAAATAAATAGCTATCTTATCTTAAGTTCTTACTTTATGCTCAGAACTTTATAGTAAATGCTTGTATCCATCTTTTATATCTATATAGCAATCCTTACTCAAATTTAGTGGCTTAAAACAACAATTGTCTACCATGTTTACAATTCTGCAGGTAAACAGCTTGAGCTAGGATTAATTGTCAATATGTTGCTGGTTTTGTGTGGAGTCATTCATGTAAATGTATTCAACTGGCAGCATGGATGGTCCAAGTTGAAGACTGTCTGTAACTTGGACTCGATGGAATAAGACAATCCTAATTTATCCTGTGTAGCTTGTCAGTTGGAATGGCTGGAATGGCTGAGATGACTGGGACTCTAGTTAGTCTATCCTCTAAGAGTCTAGATGAGGTTTCTCTATACCATAGACCAAGGTAACAGGAGGGCAAGAGGAGAAGTTGCAAGGCTTCTTGGAATTCCCAAAATATCATTTACACACATAGTGTCCACAGCATTCTATCGATCAAAGCAATAATAAGACAGCTGACATTCAAGGGGAATGGAAAGAGACCCCATTTCTTGAAGGACACCAGTGCAAATTACATTACAAAAGAATGTATGTTTAGGGAGGGAATTTGTGGCCATTAAACAATTGATGACTTATTATTAAAAATTGTGAATAGCTCCTATTGAGATATCTATTGTACATCATTTCTTAAGCTTTGGTCCAAGTTGGTCTGTGAGTCAGGTTTTAAACCTACGTTTCCAAGATAGGCAGGTAGGGTTGGGACCAGTGAGAATGTTGCATTCCAAAATGTAGCAGTAGCTGGAACAGAACTGGTAATGAAGAACATTTGCACGTGAAAATTATAAATCTTTGGTAAAGTGGAAGAGCTCTAAGCCTATCTCTAGAATGTCTCAGACAATGTTTAAAACCTGGAGGGTGAGGGGCTAGAGTTGTAGCCCAGCGGTAGAGGGCTTGCCTTGTACGTGTGAGGCAGCACTGTGTTCGATTCCAGAAGCTCATATAAGTAAGCACATATAAGTAAGCATTTAAAAAAACATTTTTAAGCATTTAAAAAAACATCTAAAGGCCCATCAACAACTAAAAAATATTTTTAAAAACTCTGGAGGGTGAGATTAATGTCTTACACACGGGCTTCCTGCTCAACTCTAAAGGGTTGGAATGGGGCAAAACTTTTCCAAGTCTTTTTCAAGACTCAATACCTGTGTCTCCGTTGTTAACTATCAGCAACATGGACTTATTAAAAGTGTTAAGAATTCCAGAGAAAGTCTAAAGGGATGAAGAAACTGAGGTAAGGAAAACAGGTTCAAGGACAGGACATTTCCCACTAAGATAATTAGTTTTAAAAATCTCCCTCATTTCAGAGAGCTGATAAATCAGAAAGAATTATTTTTCACTAATTTTTCTGTGAACCCGAATTCTAAGCCTGAGCTATGATGCTCAAGAAACTATGGAATCAAATACTCTGAACAGGTGTTTCAGCAACTGCCAAATGTTGTCAAAGCTTTCGTTGAGAAGTCAGCATCAAAAGCTAAGATATAGTGACACCTCTCACGCAGAATCTTGGAAATCTTCAGATAAATCACAATCAGAGCCTGGGAATGGTTTATCATAAGTCACAATATAGTTCCTTAAAGGGGACTCAAATTTAGTGTCTTTTTCATTTGCATAGATAATAGTAAAACTGCTCCAGGTGAGGCTCGAACTCACAACCTCGGCATTGCTCACGAGTTGTACTGCCATATAAGTACCGCGCGCTAACCGATTGCGCCACTGGAGCCACCGCAGGTGGTGCCTCAGGGACGTTAAGTGAAGATACATTTACAAATGATGATTAAAGAGTAATTGCTCTTAAAGTTTTGTTTTTGATACTAAATACTATGAACAAAAAAGACACAAGGTTTCCACGAATGGGATTAAAAGACGTAAACAAGGGAACTCCGGAATTAGCCGAGTTTGTCTTCCCTTGTCCCACCCCTCGCCGCAAAACAGAGGCACGCAGAGACTGAGGGTGGCAGTCTTCAGTACCGCGGTTAGAATGAAAGAAGTCACTTTAGCTCAGGAAAAGATGGAAGCTAAGATGGCTGCATGCAAAACAGACGTTTCGCTCTGAAACTGTGCCTCTTGGACCTTATATCTTCGCCATTCTACTTTTCTGCACTTCCACTCTGCATTCAGCTAGCCTTCCTTTGCTTTAAATGCTGCTGTCTCAACCCGACTCGCCCGCTTTTAATTTATACTTTGCTACCCTGAAACATTCAAAGAGATACTTCCTTTACAAAAAAAACTGTTTTAGATCTACAGCACTGCAAATAATAAGAATGATAATAATTATTTATTCATAAAGGAAAAATATTTTAAAATTATGATTGCAATATAAGCTAAACAAATGCAAGAAAACAATAAAAATTTTTTGAAAAATTTCTGAAGTCTTATATCTTAAGAAATCCATTGTTAGCATTTGTTGTTTTTTGTTTAGGCTTTTTGTTTGTTTTTGTTCTATGAAGAATTACACATATAGATTAAATATTTTTAAACATTTTCGTTAAAGGTTTCAAACAATGTGAACAAAATGGCCCCTCTTACCAGCACATTTCTTTTTATTTTTTTCAGACTGAATATTCCTTAGTCCTCCAGTGACACATAGTTATCTAGTGGGTTTCCCATGGTAAATCCACTATAGCATTCCACATTTCTGAACTTCTGATCCCTTAATTCTGCCATCTGTCACAGCAGATGACATTTCTACTACATTTAGCAAGAACCACTTCTTTTTCTAAGCAGGAGGTATCCTAATAGCGTGCTAAGTTCATGGTAGCATATAAAAATTTTGTATTCAGGGAAAATGCTACTATATCAATAAACTCTTCTTAGACTCTAGTTGTACATGGGGTAATTGCTAAGTGGATAGCAAACAACATCTACATTGCTTTCAAGCAAGAAGGACATGGGTTTAACCACTTTTAATAGTTTCAGGGGTTCTGGCAAATCTGGGGAATTTTGATGTTTTAATGCATCAATTCAAAGGTCCATCCAATGTCTCCAGGTTTTATTTCCAATCATTACCAGGACCTTGGCATAGGAGATATTGTGAGGATAGCCTTAGGCCTAAGCCTAAGCAACTCCATTTTAAAACTCCTGTTTGAAACCTGCAGTCTCACCAGGCACCCCTAAAGGAGCCTTCCAGTATGGCCCTGTGGCACAAACAAGTCACTTCTCCCCACCCTGATAAACTCAAGAGTGAAGTCTCTGGCAGGCTGTCCTGGCTTGATAAGAGGGAAAGGCACCTGATAAGAGAGAAAGGTGAAAAGATCAGGATGGGGACCACCAGACCAGATGTTTTAATCCCAGGGTAAATGATGTCACTGAGATACCCGGTGGCAGCTGATAAGGATTGAAAGAGGGTGTCAAAAGCCCCCAAATTTGGTATAAATAATAGAGCTAATAAACAGACATCCAGCCATCCGACAATGATGCCCTCATGCTGAGAGTCTGATGAGGACCTGGACTGACATCCCAACACTTCCTGATCCTCTGCATTTTCCTCACTGCTCTAAACTCTACAGCCACATCTTGACCCTGGTGAGAGCTGCAACTTCTCCCTATGAACTTCTCCTTAATCAGCCATCAGCTCCATCCTTGAGAAGCCTGCCTTGGTTCTTGACCTGATCACCACTGTCTGAGTGAGTATGCATCTGCTGGACTTAAAGCCTAAGGCTTGACTTTTGAACTGACACTTGAACTTAGCATGCAGGGGCAATGTCTATCATTAGCCAGTCATGATTAAGTGTGTTTGCAGTGCTTAGAATTAATTAATCTGGAATTGTTTGCTGTGAATTGATTATGTCTATTGCAGTGCCTAGCATTAAGGATTGTTGTTTTCTTGATTAAGAACCTATGAAGTGAAATTGTATTGAGTAATTTGAGTGAATAAAGCATTGAAAGGGGCAGAAGCTCGTGGACATTCTTTATTTCTCCCCCTGGACTGCATAAGTCACACCTTTTGCCAATCACAACAATAATCTAGGTTTGGAATATAACTTTCTTTGAAATTCTGCTATTCCTATGATTAAGTCTTGGGCCAGCACCTTGGCTTTTTGTGTCCTGAGTTGCAGGATATGAGAGGTTCTTACCAGGATCCCATGCAGGCATCCTTTCACATTGAGACTTTTTAAAGTGATATATCATCCTCAACTTTTAATTCTCTCTCTCCAAAGCATTAATTTCCTCTAGAAATGACCATCCAATTCTATTACTGAATAATTACCAATCCCCCCACGTTTTTAAATCACCCGATTCATCACATCTGCTGGTGCATGTGTGCATATGTCACTCATCCAGTCAGCCACCGCTGAACCAAGCACTAAGGGAAAAGAGGCACCATGTGGGGAAGCATCCCTTGAGGGATGGAGTCCTTTGTCACTCCTCATGAACAAGTAATTGGATATTGGCTATCCCAGGAGGCAACAAACTTGGCCTAAAGCAATTCCCAAAGACAGGTGACAACTAAAAGCCATCAAGTGACAACTTTCCAAACATCTGAGAGGATAAATCCCTTTGTTGGGGGAATTTCGAGAATTCTGAACAATACACCATCAGTAAGCACTAGGAGGAAGATAAGATGAGTTCAAGTACAATATGGAATTTTAAAAACCACAGAGATCTTAGATGCTGCATAAAACTTTTATTTGAGACAGTAATAAGGCTGGTTCTGAAGCTGAGAAATCTGGGGTTGAGAGGGGAATTTCATCCCTCAAAAGATAAAAATCTGTCCCCATTCAGGAGCCATAATCTGAATACACTAAGAATTGGACAATAAGGAAAATTTTTACAGGACAGAACAGAGAAAAGTCCTGGGTCCTATTATCATGGAGACACCCTCCCTTCATCTAAGTCATTGTTCTTGCTCCTACTTTCCCTTAGGGTTCTCACTGGAGAATGACAGGTGGAGGGAAATGTCATGGGTGAAAACTATTCCAAAAGACTTAGAAACTGATAATACATGGTTGTCCTACTAAGAAGTAGAATATAATTTGAATGACTAGATCCCCATGCTCTTTCTGTACCTTCAGGGCGGAAAAAGGAGGAGTCAACATCCAGGGACATCCTTCTTCCAAAGATGATGGAAAACTAAGCCATTCTCATGGAAGGATGATTTTCCTTTTATGGATATGAATTATTCAAACTCTAATGGAGGCCTGGGGATTAGGGTTTCCATTCTTTTACTATTGACCCACACACTTTTTCCAGGAGAAAGGGCAATAGCCTTCCAAATACAAATCTACTTGGTGGAGAATGGGAATTTAGCAGAATAAAGATAGCTTAGTCAAAAGGAGGCCATTTAGGAAAAGAATATGGTAAAAAGATGAAGTTTTTCAGAACAGGTCTTTAGGTGAGAAGCAAGATGGCTTCTGCCCCCAACTCAGTCTTCCTATTTAGTGTTGAATTGCTTCAGGTACACCAGAATGTCTGACTTGACTCTGCTGATTGTAGCACGGTGGAACCATCGCATGACAGGGACTCCATCGGGCCCCACCAAAAATTTTTCAAAGTTCCAACGGATGTCATGAACTTTTATGGGTTCCCAGGAGATATATTTTAACGAGCCCAACATCTCAGATGGATGAGGACAGGAATGCTGAAGCAGAAAGATGGAAAAGAGAAACAACACATCACTTTTGCTACCAGATGATCAAGGTATTTTTACTCAGAAGTAATCCACTACCTCCTGTATCTAAATATTTTATTTCCTATGATTCTTGGTAAACCCCATAAAATTTCCAAAACACCACAATGTCAATTATCAGGAATGTTGTAACTATTGTAGCCAAATTCTGCTTCTTCCTTTTATTTTTTCCCCATAAACCCAACCCACAATCATGCCACCAGTGTTAAGATATGTCACCACTCAAGCTTCATTTTCCTTTTCTGCAAAGTGATTGACTTGGATTAAAATGTGGATTTCCAAGCTTTAGGGTTCAATGGGCCAATAGCATTTCAATAAATATCTTTTGGGGATAACTTAGAGTTAATGACATTATATCAAAGCAAAAAATGTTAAATACCATCAATTCATCATCATCATTTTAGAAATGCCATCCTAAGAATATATGTGTCATAATCTTTATTTTTTAATATTTATTTTTTAATTTTAGGTGGACACAATATCTTTATTTTACATTTATATGATGCTGAGGATTGAATCCAGTGCCTCGTGCATGCTAGGTGAGCACTCTACCACTGAACCACAACCCCAGCCCCAGTCATAATCTTTAAATAAAGGACAGCCCTGTAAGTTACGTGAGTTGAACTAATGAAATCCTCTGTACGTATTCTTTCTTCAGCTTACTGAGGATATACACAAATTTTAAAATGGGCTAGTCTTGGTCCAAGTCCAGCATTTAGAAGTAATTCACTCTAGTGATATTTAGGATTCTTTTAGCTCTGGCACTCTCTTTGTCCAAAAACCAGTATTAACAGCATGATGGCACATGCCTATAGTCCCAGCAATTTGGGAGGCTAAGGAAAGAGTATCACAAGTTAGAGGCCAACCTCAGCAACTTAGCCTAGCCCTAAGCAATTTAGTGAGACCCTGTCTCAAAATAAAAAATAAAAAAAGGGTTGGGAGATGTGGCTCAGTGGTTAAGCACCTCTGGGGCCAATCCCCAGTACAAAACAAACAAACAAACAAACAAATAAATAAATAAAAACCAATGTTTCAACTAAAAATACCTACTACATTTTATTAATCTTGTTGATTTCTAGCATATTCTCTCTCTCTCTCTCTCAACTGTGATCTCATGTTACTATTTAGCCTGCATTATAGATAGCAGGCACTCATTAAATGTACCTTAGATGAATGAATTAATGAATGTCAATGAGTAAGAGGGTGGTCCCAGTAAAAGCTGCCATTCCACACAATTCTCTCCCCCATACAAAGTCAGGGCCCCATAAACACTAACAAATTAAACCCAAATCTTATGCTGACCTGAAGATTCCCTCTAAAAAGATCAATCCAACCTCTAGGCATGATCTCTTGGGCCCATTTCTACCATAACAATTCTCCACTAAGAATATTAGGGAAAAGGAGGAGGTTTAAGCCAGTAACTGACTCACCTTCAAGAAGGTGAAGACTTTCTGTTCTTTTTCACCATTCACATCTCCTTTCTCAAAAAGCTGGAAATTAGGTATATATCCTCCCCCTGGACGAACATACCTGCAATAACCAAATGTTCTCAGGAAGCTCCAGGATAAAGTTATGATGGGACATCAGATTTGAAGTAGAATGAGGAATAGATATAATAGATGGGAGAGGTGACAGAAATAGGCCATTTTTAGACTTTGGGCTCCTTAGTCACTATTTTATTCCACAATCTATCTTGGCTCCCCTCATTGTTTCTGTGCCAATTATTCTGTTCTTCTGCTCTTCCACAGTCCACCCAGTTCTCAACCAGGGGTGGAGACAAAATCTCTGGACACTACCAGACTCTTATCAAGGTAGACTAATGTTTAAAAAAATCAGTTTGAAGATACCCTTGAGCCTAATAATCCACTACCTTTCTGGGAGGTTTCTGAGATGGAAGAATCTCTGCAGATAGGAAAGAAGGACAAGGGTCTCCTACTGGGTTTCAGGCAGGCACTTACTTGAGTCCAGGAAGAATCTCTGTGTTGTCTCCTGGTTCTTGCTTTCCAAACTGGTTGCAGGGAAAGCCCAACACAACAAAGCCAAAGGGCTTTAGCTCCTCCTGAAGTTCATTCAGTTCTGTGATTAGAAAAGGGACATGATGGTCAGCCTAGATAACCTTTGGGCAGAGAAGGATCCCTGGGGTTATTCATTCTTCAGAGAAGGAAACAGAGACCAGGGAGGGAAATATCTCTAGATCAAAGAGGCTATGAGTGACACAGCTGAAGTTGGACACCAGATCTTCAGACATGCCTGCTAGACCAGTGAATATAGTACAGTATTTCCCAAGCCTGTAGCCACATCCCAATCATTAAAAATAAGGATGCCCATAAGTTTCTGATTCTATTTCTCTGAGATGGGATCAAGTCATCTTAATTATTCAAACTCCCGTGATTTTTAAACAAAGCCAGGTTGGAACATCATTATTATTCTTATCAGTTTGCTTTCCCTGGTTGGTGAATTTACAGACTGAATCTTTCTAAAGGGAAGACACAGATGACAAGACTGAGCTTCTTTCCTCAGTACAGGCTGGCAGAGTGCAGATCAATCTGACAGAGCCAAAGAAAACCAGAAAAAGTTCAAGTTAAGCTTTCTGCTGCTCTTCAACCATCCTGAGGATGTTAAAGATGCTTTCTACCTAAAAGTCTTCAGTGATTTGCCAAACACGAGCTTCAGCAGCTTTCTTCTATTGCCAGGAAGTTTCCAACTTGTCGGCTCAGGCTTTTATAATCCATGTCTCTTTATTGACACTTTCTGGACCAGATGCCTTCAGTCCCTTGATGAACACTAGCCAGTGCCACTCAGATTCAGCTCACCCAATTGGTACCTCCTTTTATCCCCTTTCTTTAAAAGGAGAGACTGCTTTCCTGTTTTCACGTGAGTCCTCAGAACCTCTCTCCATGTACTTCCCTCTTGTCTTCAGCACTACAGATAATCCCTCCCTCTAGGAAAGAAAAGAAAATAGGAAGCCTGTCTTCCACTCCTTGAGCAACGATTCCTCAGTTTCTTCATCTGTTATGTGCAGAAGGAGATGAAATAAGTTCATTTTTAAAGTCCCTTATAAATGGACAAAATTAATTATGTTTAAAAAATAATATTCAGTCTTTTTTTTTTTTTTTTTTGGTACTAGGAAGTGAATCCAAGGGCACTTAACTACAGGGTCTCACTGAGTTACTTAGGAACTCACTAAGTTGCTGAGGCTGACTTTGAACTCAAAATCCTCCTGCCTCAGCCTCACAAACTGCTGGATTACAGGCATGCACCATCAGCCAGTTAATATTCAGTCTTAAAAAAGAAAAAGGAAATAAACTAAACTCAAAATTATGTTGTTAATTTAAAAAATAAGACAGCAAACATATTCGCATCATGTTTTCAATTGGTAGGAAAAGCAGGAAAAATAATCCATATCCATATTTTATAAACATGATAATATAAGCTGTCTGAAGGGAGGAAAAGAAGGTGGAAAGGTTTTTTTCACTGTGAACCTCTTTGTTCCTTTCGAATTTTGAGGCTTGTGAATCTATTACTTCGGCAGAACACAACATAATTAAAAACAAATTCTTAGTAATTCAAATATATAAAGTGTATCTGATATAATTCATCCTGCTTACTATTCATTTGTTTTTAAGCCAATGGTCCTAAGAGACATATGAGAGAGACAAAATTCTTCCTTGAATAATGAACAAGGAGGAAGAAAACTACACCCAAGAGAAGAGGCAAGATTGACAGGGTGTATGTGTTTCTATCATAGCCTCTTCTTCTGGCCCTTAACTCCAGTCAAATACAGCTCCAGGTATAAACTCTTTCCCCCTTTCCTTGTCATTATAAAAGACTTTGCAAAAGTCTCAAAAAACATGGATCTTTTCTTATCTATTTGCCAAGGAGACTTCTGGAATCTTCTATGAAGCTCCTAGTTCTTAGATATGTATTGATTTTATTAGAAACTTCAGACAAAGCAGAGGCCAAGCCTAGGAAATTGTCAGCAATTTTTTTTTCTATAAAAGCTAAATAGTATTTTAGGCTTTGCAGATCACATGGCCTTCATCATCACTCCTCAAACAACTACTGAACTCTGCCTGTGGCATGAAAGCAACTTAGAGAGTAAGTATATGAACAAACATAGCTGAGTCCAATACAACTTGGTTTCTAAAAACAGACTGGCCAGATTTGGCCTATTGGGCACAGTTTATTGAATTTTGACATTGAGAATAAAGTCATTTAGCTATGAGTATTTATGTTGGTATATAATTAGAATTAGAATATAATTCCAAATGTGGTTTTTAGAATATCAAGTGTGATTTAAAATCAGTTGGAAAATTTAGTCCCAAAGACATATGGCTGTGAATTCTTACCAGGATATTGAGCTGTCAGGCCACAATAGGTGGCTACGTTGACAAAGAGGATGTACTTGCCCTCATACTGCTTGAATTGAATGCGTTCCATCCCATTAAGAGTGAAGGCCTCATAGTTATATATGGTGCCTTTTACATCTTTGTAGCAATCCATCTGGAAGATTTTTAAAAAATGATAATATTAGTGATAATTCCTGATATCTGTGTATTATTTCAAAGCACTTAAAGAATAATACAGGTATCAGACTCAGAGAACAAAAAATAATTGTCTAAGGGATCAATGAAAATATTGAAACTTGGGTTTTGTGACTTAAAAATCTTTCCTTTTTTTTTTTTTCCTCCAGCAACAAGTAGTCAAGTCTGAATTTCTATTATTTAGGCAGAGGTAGGCTACTAGGAAATACTTGGTCAAATATAAAGAAAAGAGATTTGTGAGCTGGGATATGAGAAACAGAAAGTAAGTGGGGCTAAAGAGAAAAGTACACTGCTTTCCAAATTTTTTAATATTCGTTTTTTAGTTGTAGTTGGACACAATACCTTTATTTAATTTATTTACTTATTTTTGTGTGGTGCTGAGGATTGACCCCAAGGCCTCTCATGTGCTAGGCAAGTGCTCTACTGCTGAGCCACAATCCCAGCCCCTGCTTTCCTAATGTCTGTGAAAATGAAGCTATGTTTTAGCTCTGGATTGAAGTCTCACAGAAGGGCAGTTTTTAATTGCTTACGTATTTCAGAGTAGCTGAGTTACTTTTCTTTCTCTAGGTCTTCTGACTTCTTAATCTAAGCATCAACATACTAGAATGGAAAGAACTCTAGCCAGGGAATACGAAGCCAGATCTATTATTACACTCCTCTATGAACCTAGGTAATTCTCATCTTGGACCTCAGTTTCTCCATGAGTAAAATGCAGCTATAAGGAGGGCCCTCCAAGTTTAAATTCATCCCCATCTCACTTTTCTCCCTTCTGTCATGCTCTTACTCATGTGATGCTCTTGTATGTCAATACTGTGAATTCCCAGCTTTGGGGTAACGCCTGCCATTGCCTAAGAGAAGATATGGAGAGCTTCAAAGCCTATCTGCAAGTAGGTCACTAGGATCTGTCTGGCAGCAACTGACCTATTACAAACCCAGCTCCCCACACCATTGTGTTTCAGGTACCTAGTACCCACCTTCATCATCATCAGCTCCATCTATCCTATTCCTTCTCAAATCTTCTGAACCTACTTGAATGGATATCCACATAAAACAGAAATAAATTTTACGTAACAGAAATAGGCTCTTCCTGAAACTTCCATTGCATGTACTTATGTTGAATTCCTCTACAAAGCAGTTCTCATCTTATTTTTCTTATTCTTGTCTATTCTTGCAGGGTACCTATAGTACCCAAGTACTCTGAAGCCACAGTACTCACTAGCACAACCTGATCTCTTTCCCTATACTGAGGAAGCTGTTACAAATTGTCTGTGGAATACAAGGAGTATAAGATAGGAAATACGAAAAGGAAGCTACTTATCTGAACCCTCTAGTGAGAAAAAGGCAGAGAAACTGTTTTGAAAAAAAGAGAAGGGCATTAGATCCTAAGTAAGGTGCAGACTTAAACAGGATTAAACTAGATTTCCTGGATATGCAATGGACCAGAAAGAATTTTAACTAAACACTATCCGCCCCCATTCAGGAGTAATGTAAAACAAAACCCAACTTTTTCCAGCCCTATAAATCCAGTGATTATATCACTAGTACACCAGGTTGCAGTTACTCAGTCCTTCTCTTAGGGAGAAAGCGATTTTCTCTATATAAGTTTTTGTGCCTTTCTCTAAATTTGCACATTTCTATGCACCAGTTCTAAGGTGTGTATAAAGAGAATATTATATGAGAACATCCATTTCTACTTTCATGATGCCTGGTTCCAAGTTAAACAATTTTAAGAATTTGCTTTCTGCACCTCTTTCTTTTTCCCCCTATCACAATGAAAATCATGCTGAAAACAGGTTGCAGGGTCTTAGACTCTGAACTTGAAGACTTACTACAGATGTTGATTATTGTTCCTAGTTTATTTAAATCTATGTGATATGTCTGAACCCCTCCAGATACAACTTTTTTTGCAGATTTTTATCGGTGCATTATAGTGATTTTTACATAATAGTGAGATTTGTTTTTACATATTCATACATGCATATAATATAACATATATATATTCATAAATTCTGGATTTTAATCTTCTGTCAGAAGAGTAGCTAGCAAAGATTTTTCTCCCATTCTGTAGGTTCTCTCTTCACCTTCTTAAAATTATTTTCCTTGCTGTGTAGAAGCTTTTTAATTTGATGCCATTCCATTTATTAATTCTTGGAATTATTTCCTGAACTTCAGGGATCCTACTTCGAACCTTATGCTTATGTGCTAGAATGTATAACTCTATGTCCCCCCACCTCCAGGAGTTGCAGAGTTTCTGGTCTAATTCTTAGGTCTTTGATCCATTTTGAACTGACTTTTTTGTAGGGTGAGAGATAAGGGTCTACATCTGAATAACCAGGTTTTCCATCATTGTTTGTTAAAAAGGTTCAGGCTTGGGCTGGGGTTGTGACTCAGCAGTAGAGCGCTTGCCTAGCATATGCAAGGCCCTGAGTTTGATCCTCAACACCACATACAAATAAATAAAATAAAGGTATTGCGTCCAACTACAACTAAAAAATAAATATTAAAAAAAGGCTCAGACTCAGCTTTTATTAAGCAAATTCTAAGCCCAGAGTCTCCACACAAAATTAGGCAGCATTTGGTAACATAAAAAACCCTATCAATTCTGAAAATAGAAAGTCACCCAGCAACTTTTCTAGTCAATTTCAGATAAAGGTAAAGATCTTATCAGAGTTGTCTTTTGTAGAACATATTATATGAGTAATGATTGTTGCTCACCCACCCATGAGCTGGATTCTGTTAAAATAAATTAGTATTGAGTAAATTTATATCCAAGGCCCAAAGTGACAACCCACCATGTGAAGTTTGTTTGTCTCTAAATTCATGATTCCTTTTTGCCTTTCAGTCTTCTCATTCATTACTATCCTTCCTTGGACTATCCCTTCCACTACCATATATACGTGTTTTGTCAATAAGGCAATTAAGTCATCAGCTGGGAATAAAACTGAGGCCAGATTCCAAGACATCTGACTCCAAATCCAGTTGTTTTAAGACTCCAGTTAATTTTTTCATGTTCCTGTGATAACTATGACTTTATCCCTAAAACTTCCATGTAAGTGTTTCTTCACATTAGTGTTTGAGTGGGCTAGAAAGAACTCAGGAAGAAACTAGCAAAAAAACCCTTCCTTCACTATCATTTGTGTCTAAAATGACCAGATTCAGCCTTTCCTCCAAACCTCAATCCCCACCTACTCTGATATCCACGTTGGTCCCACTGTCAGATCCAGCTCTGATCAGCTAGTGACTGATGTGGCTGGGAGTGGGGGTAGGGATGGGGCTCCAGGAGTCCTCCACTTGGAGATGGAGAGAAAGGACTGTACTCAAGGATCACCATTTTATGGGGAATGAAGAATATTCAAGGAAAAGAGAAGAAAGGTTTAGGGGAACCCACAAGAAGGTAGAAAGCCCAAGTCCAAATCTTGCAAGAAGTACAGAATATAGAAGCAGGACAGAAGAGTAAACAGAAAATCAAATGTGGTAGAATACAATGTTCTCTCTCACTGATAATCAAAAAATATGAATAAGAAAAGATACATGTTTACCCTCTCCTGCCCTCTCTGGAGCTCACTTACCTTCATCTTATCTTGCTTGGCATCTGTTGGCATGAAGTCAACAAGAAGAAAGAGGAAAAGACAGGAGGCTCTTAACTGTGCCATCATGACTGGTGTTGTAGATCACTGATCTGAGAGCCTGAGTGAGGTCCTTATGCATCTCCAACAGTCTTTTGTTACTTTGGCAGAGACTGGCCCAAGCCTGAGCAGGCCAATTGCAGGGCCTCAAGGATTCCTGCCACATGAAGACTGGAGAATTCAAGCCACATCTTCGCCTACACATATGCCCATGAGCACTGAGTGCTCATTAGTGCGATTAGGACCTGGGACTCATATAAATTCTGAGAATTATGAGAGGGTGACGGCAATCCCTCTGAGGTCCTTGAAGACTATTGTTTGTTTTTTTCTGAGCAGATGGGGATGTCTAGATGTAGATGCAGCCTCCCAGATTTCCTTGCAAATGGGTTTAGACATTCTAAACACTATTGCTTAAGGTGTTTAGCCCATTGGTGTAGTGTGGCTTCACTGCTTCAATACGCAGAACCAAAAGAGAAGAAAAAATTTGCAGATACCATGCCTAATATGATTACTTGAGTTTTTTTTGTTTGTTTGTTTGTTTTTTTAAATCAATGGACGAACTACCTAGCATCTGCTTGAGAGTTGAGAGAAAACTGGAGTAAGGGTTGTGGATATTTACAATATATGTAAAGAACAGCAAAATGGTATATCCATTATAGAAATGCTTTTTTCAAGGGCTTATAAATCAGCAGGGAAAAACTATCAGACGACAGAAAAATGGACACCAGACAGGAAATCAAATGTGGTAGGATACAATGTTCTCTCTCACCAATAATCAAAGAAGTATGAATAAGAAAAGATACATTTTACATTATCAGATTGGCAAAAGTTAAAAGGAATGGTGATGCTCAGCCTGGGTGCAGTCTGGTATTGGAAGCTCTTACACATTAGGTGGGGGAATAGGGAAATACAAATGTTGCCAACTTTCCCAGGATAATCTGCCATTCTGAATGCAATTCTTTTTAATAGTAAATAGCTTTTTTTGAAATTAATTATAAATTCAGAGGAAGTTGCAAGCACTCATATTAATCTAGAAGCCCAAGGGCCCAGAAAAATCATGAAAGTAAGTCACATGCTACTGTAAAAATAAATATGCTTTGACTCAGGCTGGGACTGTAAACTGAGTAGTAGAGTGCTTGCCTAGCACTGGGTTCAATCCCCAGCATCATAGAAATATAAACAAATAAATAAAGGTCTAAAAAAGTACAATAACATTAAAAAAATAAGATGCCTTGACTTTCAACCAACACGTGAAACCCCATCCGTTTGGCAGCAGCTTCCAACAACTGCTCTTAGTCTTCTGGAACAAATGAATTGATAAATGCAGACCTTGAGCCCTAGGAATTGCTGTCTTTCCCACATAAATAATATATTTAATTCCTATCAACCTCACGGAAGGCTGACTAAGAACTTCCTGCCTCTTGTTGACAGTACAACTTTATTTTTGGGATCTCAGGTGCTAATATTTGAGTTAATCTTACTTCAAAATTCATGATCACACTAGGTTGGTGGAACATGCCTGTAATCTCATGACTCAGGAGCATGAGGCAGGAGGAACGAAAGTTCTAAGCAACTTAGAGACCCTAAGCAATTTAGCTACACCCTGTCTCAAATTTTAAAAATATAAAGGTCTGTCCAGTGTGGTAGCATATGCCTGTAATCCCAGTGATAGGAAGCTGAGACAAGAGGATCTCCAGTTCAAAGCTAGCCTCAGCAAAAGCAAGGTGCTAAGCAACTCATGAGAACTGATCTCAAAAATACAAAACAGGGCTGGGCGAGTGTCCCATAGTTCACTCCCCAGTACCCTAAATACATAAAGGTCTGGAGATTAAGCTCAGTCATAATTGGGTTCAATTCCCAGTACCCTTCCCCGACCCCCATAAAAATCAAGATCATTTGTCCTTGGAAGACTTCTCTCTTGTCTTATTTTGTTACTTATACCACTTGATTTCCAAATTCCACTTTTCTTCTCCTTACAAATAGGTTTGTTTAATATGTTTAATATTCACAGTTTGTATGCTTGAAACACTTATATATTCCTTGTCAAATCATCAATTCCTTGAATAAAAAAAATACTTTTTCCCCCCATTTGGATCTCAGTTTCAAAGGTTTGATTTTTTAAAATTTATTCTTCTTGTTATATATAACAATAGAATGTATTTTGATATATCATATATATATGGAGTATAACTTCCTATTCCTGAGGTTATACATGAAATGGAGTTACACTGGTCATGGATCCATAGGGAAATAATGTCCAATTTGTTCTACGGTTTTTCCCATTCCCATCCCCCTCCCTTCCTCTTATTCCCTCCCTCCAGTCTCCCTCCCCTCACCTATTGTGAGTCAGCATCTGAATATCAGAACATTGGGCCTTTCAATTTTGGGGATTGGCTTATTTCACTTAGCATAATAGTCTCCAGTTCCATCCACTTACCAGCAAATGCCGTAATTTCATTCTTCTTTATGGCTGAGTAATATTTCATTGTGCATATATACCACATTTCCTTTATCCATTCATCTGTTGAAGGGCACCTAGGTTGTTTCTACAGCTTAGGTATTGTGAATTGAGCTGCTATGGACATTGTTGTGATCATCACTATAGTATGCTGATATTAAGTCCTTTGGGGTGTATAACGAGGAGTGGAATAACTGGGTCAAATGGTGGTTCCATTCTAAGTTTTCTGAGGAGTCTCTGTTCTGCTCTCCAGAGTGGTTGCATCAATTTGCAGTCCCACCAGCAATGTAAAGCATACCTTTCTCCCACATCCTTGCCAATATTTATTGTTACTTGTATTCTTGTTAATTGCCATTCTGATTGGAGTGGGATAAAATCTCAGTGCAGATTTAATTTGCATTTCTAATTTGCTAGAGATATTGAACGTTTTTTCATATATTTGTTAACCAATCATATTTCTTCTTCTGTGAAGTGTCTATTCAGTTTCTTTGCTCATTTATTGATTGGGCTATTATTTTTATTTTGGTGTTAAGTTTTTTGAGTTTTTTTTTTTTTTGATCGTAAGTAAAAGAGATTCTCTTTAATAATAATATGAATGCCCCCCCTCCACCTTTACTTGAAGATTTTATTTATTTATTTATTTTTATTGGTTGTTCAAAACATTACAGAGCTCAAGACATATCATCTTTCATACATTCGAC